AATGGAGAGTGCAATTGACACTTTCTGGGAGATTCTGCCTTTGTTAATGCTGACCCTTAGGTTTTCCACCATTCTGGACCATTGTGTGTGCGGGTCGCACTTTGAGATTACTGCTCTCAATTGGGCCACTAAAGCCCCACACTCCAACATTAACTGGATCTTTGGCCCTGGGATACTTTAAAGTCAGCTTGAACTTATTTCACCATTGAGTTTGTTATTTGTTTTTAGCAACCAAGGTTTTTATTTTTCCTCAAGCTTGGACTCTACAGTAGAAAAAAAAAATGTTATCTTTCTCTTTTCTAGTTTTTCTATTTGTTCATTGTGAGTGAAGGAGACTCCTGGTGGTTGGGTTTGCTCTGTTGCCAGAAGTTCCTACTTCAGCAGTGCCTGCTTTCTTTCAATAGATCATGTGGCCTGCTTGGCCTGAAATTTTCTAAAATGATTGTTTAAACACAAGTTATTTAAACATTCACCTATTCAGAGGCATTTCTCCCCAACTTTTTCACAATTAAGACACTGCTCAGATTATTCTTTTTATATTATTCTATGACAACATGTCTGATTGTGTTTCCTTAGGTTAGATTTCTAAAATTGGAATTACTAAATCAAAAGGTATGAATATTTTTACTGTTTCTTGCCATATTGCTTTTTAGAAAGATTGGGCCAATTTTTTGTGTGTATTAATAGGATGTGAGGATACCCTTCTTACTGCATGCTCATCAACATTGATCATTATATTTTCTTTTTATTAAAATTTTATTTGTTTCTTTTAGTTATACATGACTTTAGAGTCTTATTTTGACATATTTGTACAAACATAGAGTATATCTTTTTATAATCAGGATGATCATTATATTTTGAACTTTAATAATTTCTTTTTTAAATTTTATTTTTTATTAGTTACACATGACAGTACAATGATCTTGACAATTCATACATTTGTCAACTTTAATAATTTCATAAGTGAAAAATAGAATTTAATTTTACAAGTCCTATTTACTAGTGAGAAAACTAGTAAATATTTTCTTTGCATATTATAATTGTCTCTTTGTGTTGTTATTATTCCAGAGTTGCTTACATAAAACCTTATAACTATTTTGTATGAGAGAGGTGGAGTGGGCGTTTTCTTATTGATATTTAAGGTCTCTTTTTACATGAAGAATATGTTGATTTTTTTTTTGTTATAATTGTTAAAAGTAGAATTTTCAGGTTATAATTTGTCTTAGCTTTTATTTTGTTTTTAATGTTTAATGTTCCAGTAGTTAATTTTATGTAGTCAAATGTAATATTCTATTATGTTTTACTTAATTACTGCTTTTTCTATAAAATCTTTCTCTAATCCAATTTAGATCTATATTTTTTTGTATTTTAATTTTTATAGATAGTTCTTATTTAGATTTTATTTTTGTGTATATAAAGATCTTTTGGGGACTGGAGGATATAGCTCAGCACTATAGTGCTTGCCTAGCATGTGTATGGCCCTGGGTTAGATCCCCAGCACCTCAAAAAGAAAAAAAAAGTCTTATTTTTCTCTAAGAATAATCTTAGCAACATATTTTAGTAGTACATGGGCAAGTTCCCCTTGATTATATTTTTGGAATGTTTTAAACTATTTTTATTGCTTATTTTACTGTGTGACAAATTGCTCTAAAACTTAGCATCTTACAATAACAGAACAGGGCTGGGATTGTGGCTCAGCAGTAGAGCGCTCGCCTAGCACGGGCGGGACCCGAGTTCAATCCTCAGCACCACATAAAAATAAAAGGCATTGTGTTGTGTCCATCTACACCTAAAAAATAAATATTAAAAAATATAAATAAATAAAATAACAGAACCTTTATTACCTTTCAGTTTCTGTGGCCCAGGAATGCCGGAGTAGCTTAGTAGGTAGTTCTGGCTTAAGGTCTTTCATGAAGTTATAGTTAAGACATTGGCCAGGGCTACAGTCATCTGGAGGCTTGAAAGAAGCTGGAGAACTGGCATCCAGGACTGTTCACTCACAAGGCTATTGGTACAAGGGCTCAGTTCCAAGAGGGTTGTTAGTAGGTGGTCATAGTTCCTCTACTCATGGACTTTTCCATAGGAATGACTGAGTGTCCTTAAAACTGGCAGCAGGCTTCCCCCAGAGCAAGTGAACCTAGAGAGAGAACAAGGCAGAAGTTACTATGTCTTTTATAACCTAGCCTTTGAAATGATATTTCTTTTCTTCTAAACTTTACTGATCACACAGAGAAACATATATGTGGAGCGAACTACATGAAGTTTTGGGCCTTTTGAAAACTTGTTATCACACTTTTTTTCTAGGAAAGAAAACTTAGAATTGTTATATCTCCCATTGAATAGATTCCTTTTTATTCAGTATCATCTTCTCATTTACATCCCCATTCCCTTAGAAGTCTATTCTTTCCTTAGTTTTTGTCCTATGATCATACCTGATTCTTAGATATAAAATTAAGTGAATCTTATCATCTGAGGCTTTGCTATTACTGTCATTACAACTAGCTTAGGGACAAACTATCACTTAAATATTATTATCTTTTTATTTTTCTCACCCAGCATTTATTGGCTGTTGATTTTGATAAAATATTAAAAGAAACATAAATTGCAAAAATGAATCTTTTATGCATAACACATATATCTATAAAAATAGACAGCACAAATGTACTCATACACATGTACACATAGTATCTGAATAACAGAAAGGAGTTCCAAGGTTTTAGGGCCCAAGAGTTTTAGAAAAGGGAAGAACTTATCCAAGCCCTCACAGTGATAGAAAGTTAATGAAAACTTCTGTCTTTTCACCCACACTCAATCTGACCACCCTACATTTATAAGTATATAAAAGGTGTTTGAAATTAGAGTAAGTTCAGAATGGAGAAGGGTTGTTCAAATTTGTAGATTGGAGGTCTTATTCCACTTCTGTCCATTTTCTTCCCTGAGGGTTGGTTGTGGTAGTTCCCAATCAACATTGAATTGGATTTGTAGCAGCCAAAAAGTGCTGAGCACACATCAGAGTGTGGATAATTGGGCAGTTTCTTAGTTCCCTAGTGCCACTGACTTGTTTGTGGATTTTGATCCATGATTTCCTCTACCAGACTTTTTCAGAAGGTAAACTTGCAATCAAATACTGAGTAACTGTTTCCTTCTGTGTGGATTTCTTATTTCCAAACTGCCTGGGAAGTGAGAAGTTGGCTTCTAGAAGAGTAAAGGGCCTGGAAATTAGATGTTAGGCCTGTAGAATACCTGTGGATGTGGTGGCCCTTACAGTTCACATTTTCCAGCATAATACTATTTCAAATATTTTATCATTTTGGCTTTATAAACAATCCAAATGACCTAGAAGTTCTGCTATCTACATCACATTTTCTGAAGTGTTTCTTATTGCTAAAAGAAGCACACAAATTCTTTGTTAGACTGTGATTTTAAAAATATATCATGGTACTGGGGCTGGGCTGTAGCTCAGTGGTAGAGAACCTGCCTCACAGGATTGAAGCCTGAGGCACTGGGTTCAATCCTTAGCACCACATAAAAATAAATTTAAAAAATTGTATCTGGGAAAGAAGACTTTTGGTTCTTTGGTTGTTAAATAATGGGGTTTAGAAAGGCAAAAGCCTCTCTATCACATTAGAAAGAGCTGACTTCATATCCGAGATCTCTGAGGAAAGCCAAGCATTCTTGTTTTTCAGCTATTTACTCAAGTATATGTGTAGGTATTTGATCAGAGTCCACATCAACATCTACTGGGCAGAGCATGATGTTGGGAGCTCAGCTAAGTGGACTTGAACTCTGTTCAAGAGACCTCATAGTTCATAATGGGGAAATGAGATATGGGTATACCTAATAATTAATACAAGTTGGGAAATATAGAAATCTCCCAATGGAGAACAACAGGAAGGATTTCAACCCAACTCCAAATGAGTATGCTAATTCTTATATATTTCTGTGAAATAAACTAATCTACTTATAATGGCTTAAATCAACTACCACCATTTGTTTCTTTATAATTCTGTGATTTTGGTAGTGCTTGGTAGGTATGGCCTATATGGTGTTCTGCTGGGATGGCTCATCTGGAGCTGAAGGATCCAAAATGGCTTACTCATGTGTCTGTTACTATGACTGGAATGGCTGGGACAGTTGGGGCTGTCTTTTTAGCAGGGTAACTGGGCTTTGCTACATAGTGGTTTAGGATCAAAGAAGAAGAATAGACAATGTCAGATCTCTTAAAGCCCAGGCCAACTCAGTGCTGACATAGTCATTTCCACGGCATTCTAGTAATAAGAACAAAACACTAGAATAGCCCAAGGTACAGATCTCTCTCTCTATTTTTTTTATTTGGTGCATATTAATTATATAGAATAATGGGTTTCATTGTACATATTCATAGGTGCACAAAATATAATTTGGTCAATTTCATTCCCCAATACCACCCTTGCTCTTTCTTCCACCTTCTCCCTGATCTTCTTCCTATATGGTCTCCCTTATGTTTTCATGGGATCTCTTTTTCTCCTCTGTTCACTAGTTTCCACATATGAGAGAAAACATACAACACTTGTCTTTCTGATTCTGGCTTATTTTACTTAACATAATTTTCTGAGGAGTAGAATGCCTGTACAGGAATGGAGGAATTTTCAGTGGACATCTGTGCAATATGCATATTGACTTAAAATGATGTATTAATCTAAAAGCTGAAGAACGAGATCTCATTGTCTTAAATAGCATGTTTTTGGATACTGATGAGGGCTGACTGTTTTTTCTAGTTTCTAAATATATAAGCTTCATAGTTCAGTCTTAATGGGCCATTGCCACTTCAGATGTGCACCTAGTCCAGATTATACCAAGATGATTTCTGCAAAATTTATATTATAAATCATTCTTCCAAGGTGGAAGTTATCTTTCAGGCTCCTTTCCCCTCTTCTTTTACTGCCTTTGCTCTTGACCAGTTATCTGACCATTGCTTCCACCCTTCTTACCCAGGCTTCTGCCTGTTTCTCTTGTTTCAGGCACTAAAACAGGGGCAGATATTAGTGATGGTACCTGTGAGCCTGGACTGTCTTCCCCAGCCTCTTACATGAACCCCCTCCATCTCATCGAGGACTTGAGGCTGGCCCTGGAGATGTTGGAACTTCCTCAGGAGAGAGAAGCCCTCCTGAGCCAGATCCCTGGTCCAACAGCTACCTACATAAAAGAATGGTTTGAGGAGAGCTTGGTGAGTAGGTCCATTTCTTGATGGGGAAACATGAGAAACATCATCATATAGCTTAAGGAATACCACCACCACTGGCCAGTTTGACTCATCTGTACATCCTGTATGTAGCCTTTTCTTGCTTTCCATCCAGCTTTGGCCAATCCCTGCTGAGTATACCTTCCCAGCAGGAGTTTAGAACTTAGTCAAGCAGTTTAAGCTATATGTTCTACCTTCCTGTGGTCTACAATCAGTCTCTCCTGAGAAGAAGAAATCTAGGGCCAGAGAAGGGCAAACATGGAAGTTTCTCCTACTCCCAGGATTATATGCACTAATTACTGAGTTATAATCCCAGGTTGGGGTTTCTACCCTCAACTGGATTCCATTACTCCTTGTTTCTTTCCTCAATCTAGAACTTGCTTTGTTCATTCATTTCTTTACTTTTGCCCCTACTCCTTACCCTAGAACTATTTCCTATCTTGAGAATGGAATGTAGATTTGATAACTATCCTCCTATTCACTCTAGATTAGGTTCACAGACCTGCTCAGTCTAGGGGAAACATATGGGTAACCAAAGCCATAACAGATTTGTAGCTTTGTTAGCCATCTGCTTTCCCAAGGCGAACAGCAGGTCTTAAGAGTTAATAATATCTAAGAATGAGTAAGGTGAGGAGTTAACCCCTTGAGGAGGTAATCTGGAATGCAACCATTGGTGGGCTGGAGGAAGGACAGGATGATGGGAAGCCAGTTTGACAAAGTGTGTGATTACCTAAACTGAGTTTAAGAATGAAGGCTGAAGGAGGAGCCAAGATGGTGGATTAGTGGGAGGCAGCTTTTCTCAGAGCTCCGTAATTTGGTTGGGACTCAAAAGTGAGAAAACTACTTCTCTATGAGATGAGTGAAAAAAACACTCCATTGATACTCAATATTGGACAGAGAGCCTTGAAGACTGGGAAATTTGGGGTACATCAGACAAAACTAAGGAACAGAATTGGAACTGGGTTCCAGTGGGAATGGGCAAAATTAATATACAAGGTTGGAAAAAGACTGAAAAGTGTTGGGAAAGTCTTGGCATGGGGAATCCCAGCATCAGCAGGGTAGTCTGTCCTAGGCTGACCAAGCGGCTATTCAGCTTATTAAACTAGTGCTCGAAAGTCCTGGTCTGCCTGCCCTGAACAGGGAGCCCAAGCTCAAGATGTTTTGGTACCTTGGAACAGTAGTGAAGCAAACTCAGGCCGGGAACTTAGGTCTGTGAGTTGAGAGTTGAGTCCAATACATGCATCCAGCAGATGCGAAATGCGAGATCTAAACTAAGCCTAGCAAATCAGGAAAATCTCTGGCATGGAGAATTTCTGGCACAGAGACCATTTTTGCCTTGGGGCAATACAGATCAGAGATGCTTGAGAAAGCCCTCCCTCCAACTCTCCCTTGGCAGCTGGCAGGACCAGCAGCAGGGAGAATCTGAAAGGGTGGAGTGACTGAGCTCAGTGCTCAGAAACAGTCCTTGAGAGGCCAAAAAAGACAGTATCCCTGAACAATAGAACTGGGCGAAGGACTGACTCCCCTTTCCCACAAGCGGTGCGCTGGGGAGAAGAGTGGGGTATGATCCTAGAATAAATAAAATACCTAGGGTAATACCAGACCAAATGCTCACCCCTTGGAGTTTCACTTACAGAAACTCATCTCATAGAACTCAGCCGCCACTATACCCTGGAAACGAAACCTAAAGTATCTTCCACAGCTCCTCACACATCCCACTGAGACACCAAAAGACAGTTTGTCACAGGCAGTGTGGATATATTCTCATTGACTATTCTGTTATTTGTTTTTGTTTTTGAATGTATACTGATTGATATATGATGAACAATTATACATTTGTGCACATTCATATGTGTTTCTGCTTTTTCATTTTTAGCATTTCTTGAAGGTAGCTATTTTTCATGCTCTGGTTTTTGAAGGTTAGGGTTTTGATTAGTATATTTTTGGATTTATTTTCTGTTGTCTCTTTTACAACTCTGTTTCCCTTTGTTTCTATTTCTCTCTCTCTCTCTCTCTCTCTCTCTCTCTTTGCTAACAGCCAAACTCTATTATTCTCTCTTTCACTCCTCCTTTAATTCTTTTACTTCTATTTTTTTCTTCTCTTCACCTTAAATACCTTTTCTACCCTCATCTGTTCTTCTTTACTCTTACTGAACTCTGTCTTTAACTGGATACATACTCATATCTGTTTATTTTTCTCATTTCTATAATTTTTGAAAGCAGTTATTTTTTTATGGATCAATATTTTGAGGACCAAGATGTTTGCTTAGTATATATTGATTTTGTTCTTGAAATCTTTTATTTCTTTTTTAAATTTTTATTTTATTTTTTTTTAATGTTTTTTTTCTATATTTATTTTTTAGTTCTCGGCGGACACAACATCTTTGTTGGTATGTGGTGCTGAGGATCGAACCCGGGCCGCACGCATGCCAGGAGAGCGCGCTACCGCTTGAGCCACACCCCCAGCCCTAAATTTTTATTTTATATATTTTTTTCTCACTTATAAGTTTCCCTAGAGTCTCTTTCTCTTTTTTCCTCTGCTAACAGCCAATCTCTATTGATCTATTTTACTCTTCCTTTTATTTTTTACTTCTATTTTCTCTCCTCATGATTATCACATCCTATATCACTTCTGTCCTATACCTGTTCACCACTTTTGTAAGCTTACTGTTTTACCATGGGCAATAACTGCCCATTTCTGATTATTGTGACAATCAACTTTATAGATTTCATAGCAAGAACTATTTGTTTTAATGCTGTAAATTGTTTGAATTTGTTATTATCTGTCTTCCCTTAAACTATGAGTTAGTAGAAACCTTTATGGATACTAAAAGTCCAAAGGGTAGACACTCTACTGTTAGATGGGTAGACACACGAACAACATGAAAAGGCAAGGAAACAAATCACCCCCCAAAACCCAAAATACTTCAATAACAGAATCCATTGAAAAGACAATGGAAGAAATGTCAGACAAGGAATTTAGAGTGTTCATAGTTAAATTGGTCTGTGAAATAAGGGACAATGTAAGGGGGAAAATACAGGAAGCAAAAGATCACTTCAGTAAAGAGATAGAGATTCTGGGAAAAAAAAACAAGCAGAAATCTTTGAAATGAAGGAATCAATAAACCAAATTAAAAATTCATTGTAAAGCATACCAGCAGACAAGACCACTAGAAAGACAAATTTTTAGGCAATGAAGACAAAATATATAATCTTAAAAATGAAGTTGACCATAGAGAAAAGTTATTAAGAGACCATGAATAGAACTTTGAAGAAATATGGAATAACATTAAAAGACCAAACTTAAAAGATTTATTGGGATAGGTGAAGGCTCAGAGATACAAACCAAAAGGAATGCACAATCTCTTCAATGAAATAGAATCTGAAAATTTCCCAAAATTTAAGAATGACATGGAAATCAAATATAGGAGGCTCACAGGACCCCAAATATACAAAATTATAACACACCCACACCAAGGCACATTATTATGAAAATGCCTAATATACAAAATAAGGATAGAATTGTAAAGGCTACCAGAGAAAAACAACAGGTAACATTTGGAGGGAGACCAATCTGAATCTCAGCTGATTTTTCAACCCAGACTCTTAAAGCTAGGAGGTCTTAAAATAATGTATACCAAGTCTGAAAGAAAATGGATGCCAACCAAGAATATTATACCCTGAAAAATTAAGCTTCAGAATTGACAATGAAATAAAAACCTTCCATGATAAGCAAAAGTTAAAAAGAATTCGCAATTAGAAAGCCTACTCTACAAAACATACTCAAATATTTTGTGAAGAAAAAAAGAAATGAAAACTAAAAATAAAAACTAGCAAAGAGAGTTTCACTTTGAATAGTCAAACAAAGAAGAAACTAATTCAAATTAAAAAAACAGAAATAAATCAAAATTACAGGGAATAAAAATCATTTCTCAATAATAATATTGAATGTAAATGGCTAAATTCATCACTCAAAAGACATAGGGGCTGGGGATGTGGCTCAAGCGGTAACGTGCTCGCCTGGCATGCATGGGGCGCTGGGTTAGATTCTCAGTACTACATACAATAAAATAAAGATGTGTCCGCTGAAAACTGAAAAATAAATATTAAAAAATTCTCTCTCTTTTCTCTCTCTCTCTCTTTTTAAAAAAAGACATAGACTGGGGTTGGGGTTATGGCTCAGCAGTAGAGCACTTGCTGGGTTCAATCCTCAGCACCACATAAAAATAAATAAATAAAATAAAGGTATTGTGCCCAACTACTACTAAAAAATAAATATTTAAAAAAAGACATAGAACTGGCAGATTGGATAATAAAAGAAGACCCAACAATATGCTGTCTCCAAGAGACTCACCTCATAGCAAAGACATCCACAGACTGAAGGTAAAAAGATGGGAAAAAAACTTGTCATTCATATGTATCTCTTAAACAAAGTAGATTTCAAGTAAAAATTAATCAGAAAGGACAAAAAAAAGGCCATTTCATACATTGGAGGAAAGATAGCTTCGTCAAGTACTGGGATAACTGGAATTCCATATGTAGTAGAATGAAATTAAATCCCTCTGTCTCACCCTGCACAAAACTCAAAGTGAATCAAGGACCTAGGCATTAGACAAGAGACCCTGTACCTACTAGAAGAAAATTTAGGCCCAACTTTCCATCATGTCAGCCCACAAATCAACTTCCTCAATAAGACTCCTAAGGCACAAGAAGTAAAATCAAGAATCAGTAAATGGAATGGCATCAAACTAAAAAGCTTCTTCATGTCAAAAGAAATAATTAAGAATGTGAAGAGAGCCTATAGAATGGGAGAAAATCTTTGCCACCTGCAGATAAAGCACCTCAGATAGAGCCTTAGTCTCTAAGATATACAAAGAACTCAAAAAACTTAACACCAAAATAAATAAATAAATAACCCAATCAATAAGCGAAGTAACTGAACAGGTACTTCACAGAAGAAGAAATATAATTGAACAACAAATATA